GGGGGGGGGGGGGGGGCATGTAGCAGCCCGGGAGTGGTGCTGTGTGTTTGGGTCGTGGTGACGGTTGGGTTTATGGTGGAGGTCACCCAGGCTACATGGAGAGACAGGCCCAAAGGTTTCATAGGTGGTCCAGGGGGTGGGAGCAGTCCCCTCTTAATTTTGCCAGTCGGATGGGGGGGGGGGGTTTTGGTAGATTTAGGCTATCCAGATTTAGCCTGTGGCTGTGTGCCTGCACAGAAATCTTATGAAGAAGAAACTATTCAGATGTTATAATTGGTTTATTATAATTGTAACTGTATTAATAGATGTTGGAGAATAGGCCTGTATCCAGTTGGTGTCTGGGTGTGAAGTGCATTGAAGCCAAAGACTTGATTGAAATGAAGCATTTTGATTGGACAGGAACCTTTTTCTGACAACATGACAGTCTGCTGGGGGTGGGGGCATCCAATAGGCAGAGGTGTCCAGAAGAGGGCGTGTGAAAGCATCAGGTGGGGGAGGAGGTTTCGGGGCTCGTCTGGTGTGCGGTGAAATCCCCCCCCTCTCCACCAGACCCCCTCCTCTCTGGACCGGAAAAGGGGGAGGGATGCTGATTAGCAGCGTTTGGGAGCTGAAGTGTGAACAAGAATCGCTAGTAAATACTTTGTCTTTAGGCCTGGTGGGGGGTGGCGTGACTTTGACGTTTTTGTGAAATTCTTTGAATACTCATTTGTTTTGTTTTTTTTTTTTTAACGCCCAAATTTGATTGGACTGTTTGATCGAAAAGTTCCCGGTCGAGGTGACCCAGGAACTAGGTTCCTGAATTTCATTGGGAAAGCACCTGCTGTCTGGGAGGGGGGGGGCTGGTTCCTGCAGATCATCCATCTCTGGACGATCCTTCCCCACCACGACCCAGGCTGCTGTCCAGCAGTTTGCTAAAGGCTGCTGTGGGACACTGGTAGACATTAGCACGACTCGTTAAGGCCGGCAGCTCATTCGTACCCGTCATCGTGTGTCGCTTTTCCTCAGTACTGTGTTTATCTTATCTCCTCCTTTGAGAGTTCACCCTCACGCCTCCAGAAGGAGTGGGAGTGAAGTGTGTGGAACTGCAGCAGATTTGGAGCTTGTTTCACGCTCACGCCCTGCCTGCCTCTGTTAACATAATGCCACGTGAATTCTCATGCTAAGAATCAGGAGGAATGTGTTATGATGGGCCTGTGAATTGTCATGCGGGGCCTGTGAACTGTTATGAAGGGCTTATGAAGCCAAGGATCAGTATTATGAAGGACGTGAACTGGCCTGAAGGCCCAGTGATGTGTCATTAAGCACCTGCGGGGTGGAGTGAAAGCCTGTGAAGTGTCAGGAGAAGCTTGTGATGGCTCTTGAGAGATGGTGCTATCTAGGGAGATCTTGACAGGTTGAAAAATAGGGCAGCTGTGGCGTAACTCTGGAATAGACTTCATAGCTGAGCGTGGAGGGTTTGGTCTGTTTACACAGCTCCACAGGTGAAGGTCCTGACACTTTCTAGAGGCGAGTTTGTTGCTGGAGACATCTCCAGGCTTCGCTGGGGCGGCAAATGAAGAGATTTAAGGGGAATCAGGAGGCAAAAGCCGCCAATTAATTGGCCTGTGCCATAGTCACGATGAGAGTCAAATTTCATGTTAGCCGTGGAAACGTAGCTCCTGTCGCAGACCTGGAGAATGAGTCATATGTAGTACACACATGGTCTGGCACCGTACCGCGATTCCCGACACGGCGTGCAGTGTCACGGACTGATCAGAGCCGTCGGATTCCGTCGGAGGTTTGAGAAGTTTCACCTGAACCCCTCACTCTCAAAGCAAATAAAAAATAACAAACCTTCCTACCCGTGGATTTGTGTTGGCGCTCAATGTCGTGCCAGGGAAGGTGCTTCATGGGTGCCATGTTCCCCGCAGACCCTACAGTGATCTCCAGCAGCTGTAGTGGGTGGAACTCCCATGTTAAACATATGTCTGATTGATCTCCACAGGAACCACCAAGAGATTTGACTGACTGACTCACAGGAGTGAGATTCCTGGTTGACTATAATTAAATTAGAATAGCCTGATGTAAAAGGCATACTGTTGGCATATCTGGCTAATTCGGTTTATCCTGGAAGCGTGCCAGATATTTACTGTGAGGAGCTGACGTCCACTCAAGTGCCCTTGACTTACCCACTCATACAGTGTTGGCTATATGACTGTTTGTGTCTTAGTTTATTTATTTGCAGTGGTAACCAACAGTGCAGAGATTGACCTAAATAAGAAACAAAAACATTTCGGAAAGTTATATCACCATGGCAACCATGAGTTTAATGCATTGTGATATGTGATGCTTGGTAGATTTCTTGCTAAACTTAAAAAAAAAAAAGTAAAGCATTCAGATAGGTCTCCCAGATTTTGTTTTTTTCTGCTTCCACCCCCTATACCCTTTGGTATCTTCTGCTATTGCAAAACTTGACAAGGAGCTGATGTCCAATAACGGTCAGTTTCTACAGCCGCAGATGTTACAGTCCCAGCTTCTGTAAGACTGAAGAAATATTATTAATCTGGTGGCAGAAGTGGGATGAAGTCAGTCCCTCACTGGGTGAACTGTGAACACATGAACCAAGTCTACTTTCGTGATGGATATGCAGATGTATTCTGTAAGGCTGAGGCCGGCTTTGGGGGTCAGGTGAAAGGCTAGCTTTGCTTTAGGGCGGGGTAATGAAGAGTGTCTGATGAGCTGGAGGTTGACCTCATCCTTCATGCTGGATTTGAGGATTTTCTCACCCTGGCCAGCATTTGTCATGTTCCCCCCCCGTTGCATGTTTCAGTTGACTAATGGAATCTCTGCATGCACCTGACCCCGCCCCCCCCCGTGCCAGCCCAATGGCTTCCCCTGGGGGGCGGTGCTGGCTGAGCATGAGATTTGCCTGGGAGCTGGATGGGAGGGGGGGTCTGCTTGGGACCGCCCACATCACGGTCATATAGGAAAGTTGAAACGGAGCGGTTTTGCCCGGTCCGGTTGCTCGGTCCCGTTCCCATCCCTCTGTTTACGTGCGCGAACCGCCGGCCTTAACCAGCCACAGCTGTTTGCCGCGAGGCAATTAACCCGAGACGATGTAATTAGTCAAGAAGAGCAATTACCTTGCGTTGCTCTCAATTATCACCCCAGGAATGCAAATGGAGGAGATATTTAAAAAAAAATCAGGATCAAAGGAAGTGCTGAGTCAGGAGCCTAAAGGAGGCGGCTGCGTTCCGCCCTCCGCGTGTGGGGCAGTGGCCGCCGCCTCGCTGCCTCGCTGCCTCGCTGCCTCGCCTCCCCCCTTGTGCTGCTCTGGAGCTTCCCAGCCCTGCGATTCGGGTTCCCCTTCCCCCCCACAGACAGACACCATTCCAAGCCAACAAGGGCTGTGAGCCAAGGGCTGTGAGCAGTTGTGGGATTCGTCTGACACCCAGAGCTGCCTCCTTTGTCACGTTGGTTAGAACCCGGAGCGTTTCTCGCCTGATGGATGTCTGACTTTGGGACTGAATGTACAGGCACCAGGTACCCCCCGTCCCCCCCCCTCCCCGGCCCTCGATCGGTAAATGGTAACATTCTTGGGATTGCACTCGTGTCCCATGATCGGAGACTCTGTGTCCCTGTGGCTACATGGAGAGTCTGCCTGTTCCCAGTTGGAACGCGCCGCTCGAGCCCCCCCACCACCCCCCGTCCCTCTGCAGCCAGTAATCAGGTCAGAGGAGTCGGCCTGTGGACAAACATTCCCAGCGGGAGTGAGCCAGGCTCTTCACACGGTCTCCTTCTGGTCCTCCTCCTCTCCGCGTCCCTGTGATCCGGAGCTGGGTGCCTCAGCCTTACTTTCACAGTGCTGCGTAAACTGAAGCGTTTCTCCGACGGGACCCAACCTGTATTTACACAGCTGGACACTAACAGTCCGCTTTACGCTGTTTCGGCACCAAGTCCGTGTCTTTACCCACTGGCTCACCCGGTTTGGCGATTTGTGGCTTCATCGCTTAATTATGTGCGGAGCTGGAAGCATGCTGCCCCATGGCTGCCGGTTTCAGCGATAGTGCAAGGCCCCGCCCCCTTCTCCTCCCCCCTCTGAATTATTCATGGCCGCCCCATTGCCGTGGCGAGCTGAGCCTGAGGCTGTCATGTGACTCATGCATTCAGACCCCTTGCATCGCTCTCCGATTCGATGGGCCGCCTGACGTTTGCCCCATTGCCTCCCTCGTAGGCAAGCCGGCTGCTGAGACCTGCCGGACGTTTTATCTCCATCACCTTCGCCCAGCCACACTTCCGGAGGCGGATCCTGGCCCGGCGCGAGTACGGCTGGTCCGTGGTGCAACATAGCTACGGCGACGGCTTCCAGTACTTCTTCTACGTCATGACCAAGGGCGAGGCACTGAGCCCGGAGGACCAGGCCCTGGAGAAGAGGCTCCTGGAGAGTGAGGACCCCCAGGCCGTGGTGCCCCGGGAGGAGCCCGATTCAGAGGACTACCTGAGCAGAATCTGTCTTTAAGGCAGCCCCCAACCTCCCCCCCCCCACCCCCAAACGCTATGCCAAAGCCTCACAGGGAGTCTGCCAGCATTTTAACCAGCACACGTGACTGCTAAATGATCAGAATTAATTTACCACTCAAGTCTTCAGATATGTTTGTACCTGGTAGACATTTTTAAGATTTTATATGCAGATTTATACGTTTAAATGGCGGCCGGATGGTCTTTTTTGTTTTTATTTCAGTCCTTTTTTAGATTCTGCAAATCTATCTGCCTTTTTTTGTTTCTTTCGCTGCCTCACGGGAATCAAAGTCAAAAATCTGACACTGAGAGATAAAATGCTGGATATCAGGAAAATGCGAAGAGGCCCCCTTGGGACCGGCCCACTGCGAAGAGATGTCTGCGTTTCTCAAGGAAACACTGCAGGAAGTCGCAGGCCTCACTGCTGTTTAAATATAGATTCCGTGGGGTCATTAATAAGACCGAAATCATTTATTTTTAATAATCTGCTGAAATGTAATTACAGTCTATTTTTACGGCCGAATAAAAGGTGTGTGATTTCTGTGACTCGCTCCTCCTCGCAGTCCGAAAATTATTTGCCAAAAATTATTTGGCCCAGGGAAAGAAAAGTGGAGTATTGATCAGTAAACTGTGGTAAACATTCCAAAGAAGTGTTTTTAATGTTTTTTTTTTTCTCTGAAAGGAACAAAGGCTAGTGGTATTGAAATGGGAAGTGCTGGGATTCGTGAATAACCTGGAAGTCCGGGCTTTGATCAAGGGATCCAGGAAGTGCTGGGATTCGTGTGCAGCCACCCGAAGGAGCGACTCAGCGGGGCGGCGACCCAGCACACTTCCTGACCCACCTCCCCTACTCTGCATGTTTCCGTGTCTCTCTGCTCGCTCACTCAACATTCTTGCTCTCCTGCTTCCCCATCATCCTGCCTTCTCGCCCTCTCCTGCCCACCCGCCGCTCTCTTGCCCACCTGCCCTTTCTCCCGCCCACCTGCCCTCTCTCTCACTCACCCGCCTGTCTGCTCCATTGCCCGCTCTCTCTCCTGCTCGCCCGCCCACCTGCCTTCCCGCCTACTTTCTCACGGACAGGCCGGCCCACTCTCCGCATCGCCGCCGTTTTTGCTGACTGCCAATGCCAACTCCTGCCATGATTCTGCCAGGGCGCTTACGCTGCAGTATGTGACTCGCATAAGGCGTTTAGAGGACACCTGCGTCCCGAGGTGAGGACGCAGCCGCCCCCCCGCCATTGGAGGCTAGCCCCAGGCGCGCCCGCTTCGCCCACAGATTGTGTTCCACGGGGCAGGGAGATTCCCGCGGTCTGGGGTTCAGATTCCTTATTTCATTTTACCCGTCTGATTTCTCAGCGATACACTGACTGACACCAGAATAGTGTGAATGTAAGCATTAGGGGTCCCTGTTTGGAATACCGCTGCACTTTGGTATTCGCACTTTGCACCTAAAAGCCTGTACGTCCCATTGTGTGTCAGCAGCTGGCATCGCTGTTAAGGAGCTGTAATTAATAGACCGTGTGTTTGTTTGCCGGGAAGTGCAGTTGCTCTTGAATCTTTAAGGGAAGTGTTTGTCCCAACTTCTTGATTAAACATGAAGCATCAGATGGCAGAGGGAGCCCGACACATGAGTGAGTTTGCAGGAAGCAGAGCCACATACCTGACAGGATATAAAAACGCCTGAAGTTGTGGCTGCTTTCAGATTGGCTGTCACTTTCTCCTTAGAGGCCTGTGGCTTCTTCAGATCGGCCGCAAAGCGCAGCTCAGATTAGCCAGTGAGGTTTCATAAAGTTCAGCCTCACCCCCCCCCCCCTTGTCAATGCAAAATAAAAGAACAGCACTGACTACTTATTCTCACTTCTGTCTGCGCTTTAACTTAAAGACGTCCACTTTCCAAATGATTAAAGAAAGTACTATATATAAATTTGTCGAACCCTTTGCCGGTGGAGCTGTTTTAAGCACCGTTCCTTTGCTGTGGATGTGACGGGCGGCTCGATTTTCCGCTTTGTCTTGGGGAAATGCAGCCGCTGGCTCTGTCAGCAGGTCGTCAGCGTCTGGGAGTGTCTGCGTCCTCATTGGCTGAAAACACTTGACCTTTGAACCCCGGCGCCTTCACGTGATACCTCTTTAGGCCGTGGCATCAAAGGCGTGTGGTTTTAAGTGCCCCTCCACTTGACGTCCCTGGATTAACGCCCGCCCGTCCCGTCCTCCCCCCTCCCAGCCTATGGGCAGATTCTCTGTCATCAGGAGCCCCCCGGGGGACGACAGACGACCGCGGCTCACGCCGGGTTTATCGACATGCCGACGGGGAAGAGACTGGCGTTTGTTCGGCCTGTGCAGGATGGGAGGTGGGGGCATGGATGACCGTCGGATGTTATGCAACCCCGGGCACTGGCAGATCAGGGAGCAGCAGCAGCTGTCTCAGTCCTGGCGGCCTGCCACGCTGCCCGGGATGGGATGGAGGCCTGACGTCATGGGGAGGGGGGGTGGCGGCAACCTCCTGAGGCCATGGGTGCGATGGGACAGAGCACCCGAGGTCATGACCTTTAGGTTCTCCACGGGCTGGAATGTCACGACCTTGGACTGAGTCAGCTTTATACACGGCCCTCTGCAGCCAATCAGCCGGCAGTCAGACTCACCCAACCCCCCCCCCCCCCTCCCCCCCCTTCCAATACCAAGGGCAGGTTCACAGCTTGGAACCAAACTTCCCTCACTTACCCCCCGTAATTAAACTTCAGGGCATTGAGTGTAGGAGGTCTGATATCAGCTTAGTCTTTAGAGGGTTAAAGTTAACCCTAAGCAAGAATTTGCCCATTTCTGGTATTATCTCTCCCTCTCTCTGGTCGCTTTTTGTGCTGTTTATGTAATATGTGGCTTTATTTTCTTCCTTTTTTATTTGTTTTTTGAGCATGTCTCACTGTGAAGCGCCTGCTCATGGTCTCTGTTGTGGACCTTGTCTGTCTTCCTGCGTCATGCCCTGCCGCTGGCACTCAAAAGCACAGCACACACCTTTTCTTCTTTCCAAGGACAGTTGGCTAAATTAAACCCCAAGTAAGTATATGATGCTCGTAGCGTCGTAATAAAAGGGTGGGTGACATTTCAGGGGAGTTTTGACACACAACTGCACTTACTGCAACTTCTCAACCCAATGAATACATGATGAGCACATTCACTGCCATCTGATTCCAGTGTTTCGTCATAACTTTCTGAGATCATATTAAATTATCTATCTATTTATCTGTCTGTCTGTCTACATATATTTCAGGGAAGCTGTACTTCTTCAAACCTAACAAAGCCAGTAGTTCCTGGCAAGTATTAAAATGCTTCACGGTTATTTTCAAATTTGTCGTCTAAGCGAGTCTGCTTATCTGCTTTCATGCCACCCAGCAAATCATCTTTCCTATGTGCTCGCATTTCTGCATGGTTCGCGTCTGCACCAGAGAGCAAACTGGAATCTCACAGCAAAATGAGGCGAGTCATCCCGTCTTTTCAGCCAGGAAACAGCCTGTGAAGAATGCCGAGCTCGGTGCGCTAAAACTCAGCGCTTTACACTGTGTGTCGAAGTAGCGATGAAAGTGTTTAACTCGAGCTGTGAATGCACCTCATACTCTCCCAAGGGTCTTTGCTCAGGTGCTGGGATCCAGAGTAAAACTGCGTTTCTGAAATGAGACGTATATTAAGCACGGATAGGCTACCTGAAATCATTGCCTCGTTATGCTGCATCGAGCCTTTATAACGAAGTTATGGGAATATCAACATTGCAAATGGCAACTCGCTTGGGTTTGTCTACCAGTTTGCAGGAATCGTTATCCGAACCATGTTCGCCCACTAGAAATGAGCCCTCGCCTTCGGTCACCGACATTTCCGCGCAAAAAAAACCATCTGAGTGTTTGTTTCTGCGGAAGACGCCGGAGCAAAGCTTGAACAGATGGGCCTCTTAATAAAAACGGCTTTGTTTGATGGCGAAGCCCAGCTGCAAATGCTGGCTCGGCGCTCAGCCTCTCAGAAGCATTTATTTTGGGTTTAATCGACAAATATAGCGGACGTAACACAGCAGGAACATATGAATGGCTTGAGTAGATGATAATAATGAGTTATGGGGAGGTCTTTTGTGGCCACCGTTATGATTAGTGCTGTTTCTCATTGTTTTTTTCTGGTTTGTTTGTTTGCACGGCACCACGGTGACAGGAAAACCGCAGTAGCCGCCTTTGCGTGACCCATGCAGTCTATATGTTGGTTCTGCTGGGATTTTATTTTTATTACTGCCGTTTATAAATAAATACAAGAGTACGCCCCACAAACTGTTATTTCACCATTTATTAGTTCACCAAATACAGTGAAAATGGCATCATCATATACAATGAATCATTCTTAGAATGTCATGACGTTTTCGTCGCTTTTTTGCTTCATAAAATGACGTTTCATTATTGAAAATATTAAGGTTTCATGCACAACAAACCATATTCAATTTCTGTAAAAGAATGTTACAAAAGATTTTAAATTAAAAAACGTAACGGTAATGTCCAAAAATCTGTCAAATAACAGCGCGTTATTTGAGTATACTCGTAAACAGCGCAACAGACTCTAAAATCGCCAATTCTAACGAATCCGTCAACGAAGCTCAAGTCACAGTTATACGATTTATCAATAATAGTTAAACATTGATGTGTGCAAAACCCGAAACACATTCAGTAAGTCTTTTTTCTTTAAAAAACAGCGTCCCACACTGGATATTGATTGAGACAGACAAAACCTCATAGATTCTTCGGTAGTCTCAGAATATCCTCTCCAAAGTACAAACTTTTTTGTTGATGAATTGTAAGACGTTAGACGAGCGTATCAGTTTAAATAACAAATAGTTAGATATAAAAATACAAATATGAATTTTGTTAAAAAGAATCGTGCCAGGGTAAGAATGGTGCTGGTGCCTGTGTTGGCACCTGAGAGAAAGTTCATGCAACAAAAAGGATGGAGGAAAAAAAAGTCGACTTTTATTTATGTAAGACAAAAACATAATCGCAAAATCGAAATAAATAATAATAGTAATTCAAATTATTCCCGTCAGTCTTTTTTTTTTTTAATGTTTTCATGTATTTGTGTTTAACCATCCCTGCTGGCGTCCAGAAATCTTTCGATATTTTTGAACGCGAGGTGTGAAACTGATAAGCGCAGGTGTCAATAAATTAAGAGCCGACCTGCATCATCATAGTGTCTGGGGGGACTAAATAGTACAATCTTTTTCTACGTATATATATTTCTCAGCATGTTTGTGACGGGCAAAATTGAAAAGAAAGGGGTGGGCTAATACAATGAAATACCCTTGTGTTGATTACCCCATTAATACATACACCAGGTCTCGTCGTTTGGGTCTTCATTGTCCGGTTGGTCTAGGCTATTTTAAAGACCTCTCTAGCAAGCAATCGGAATGCATTCTACGTGTGGATAGTACTGAATGAAACAGCTCGTTTGAATGCTGTTTTGCCGACTGTGTTTTCAACATAAAGCTTTATATCGGGAGAAGATGGTCTTCAAACTGAAGTTCTGTACAAATATAGAAATAGAGCTTCGGGCGACATTTCGCTTCCAGATGTTGCTGCTGTTGTTGTTTTCTTGTTTTCTTCCTTTTTTGTTGCTTACAGCGCGTTTTGGCAGACGGTGGTCATGAAATAATGGCAAGTTCATCATCCATCGTAGAAATCGGCTAAGGTGGAGAAACGGAGCTGCGGTGATGCCGTCACGGTATCGTGCTGCTCAGCAGTGGTTTAAATCGGGTTTCGTTTGGAGAATTGCCAGCAACCCCAAAATAAATCTCGGTCTTCCGTTGTCATCTTTCCCTTTCTCCTTCATTTCCCCGTCATCGTCATCGCTTCGTGCCTTCGTTTCTCCTATACAATCCTTGAACACATGCACGTCCGACAGGTGCTTCAAATCGGTGATTAAAATAAAAAGTCTGCAAGGCATCGTTCCCGTTTAAACGCCGGGTGATGATTTGTCTGTCATTCCCTTCAGAACCTCGTCTATTCGGTCGTCTTCAATAACCACTATAGAGGGAGAAAGGGGGAAATATGGTTTTATTTTCTGGCATGCAATAATTTCCAACTTAACACAAATAACAGCATATCTTCCGCATGTCTGCTGTTTTTCTCACCGTTTTTTTTCTACGACAAACAGCTGTTCTAAATTCATTCGCTTGAAGTGAAATGATGCACACGTCTCTGGCGCATGTTGCCGAAGACAATCGAAACAGCCCATTTCACAAGATCGTGTTTTAACATCTGGAATCTTTTCAAATTAAGCAAGTGATAATTCGGATATGCGAAAGCGTGTGGATTATTTCTGAGAAAATTATATTTTTATGCGTATCTAATTAGCAGTTAACTGTTTGGTGCTTTAGTTTAATAGTCGAAATGTAAGTTCAGTTTAGTGAACAATGTTCCGACGATATACTAAGATATACATATCTTCCAATATGTCTAAAATATTAAAAGTGGATTTCCGAAGCCTTAACCCAAACAATGTCATATACGAAGAACGCGTAAATCATCTAAACGCGCTTAATGCGACCTGTTATTCAGTTATGCACAATTTCATTTTTTATTCTTTATATATCTGTCTATTTTATCTTGACTGGATCTGCTACAAGTCCAAAAATAGGAGGTTCATATCTTGCATTGCAGTATGTGTTGACACTCAGTATTCAAGAGACATAAGGTCTATATGTCACACGCACTATTCGTTATTGTTTTCATATTTACGCACCTTGCAGCATGTATTTGGCGGGATCATCGTTGTTGTCACCTATTAACACGTGCGCAACCTTTGTCTAGAGGTCTTTTGCAACTACGAGAGTTTGATACCCTATTGCTTACCTCGTTTAGCTCTGCCAATCTGTCCCAGTTTGGGGGGTCTTTTTCCCTGCGATGCCCCGAAAAAAGAGTTGGTGTCTTGCAGTCCGCAGCTGAAAGACATTTGACTGACTTCGCTATCTGCTCCGTATCCGCTCATTTTCCCCTCGTTGTATGGCAGGACCTCGGACATTATGGCACTGACAATGAGCCTCTTCCGAAAAGGTAAAAAAACGGATGAAAGCGGTGCCGACGGTCAATGGTAGATGGACTTCCGCGAATAATTGCACTTCTCAGACGATCCTCTTGAAGTGATCTCAAGCGCAAATGTAGCACCTCTTTCGCACAGCCGGAGCGCACGACCCAATTTGACAACGTCGCGGAGAGCCGTGTTTATGGGTGTTGTGTTCGTGTGCGTGTTCAGAGAGGTCTGATGAGAAAAATGGGAGATCCCGGGATCATAAAGGAAACCCAGGCGGAACAGTGAAGTCATCCATCCGGGTTTAAAGTGATGTGTGTGCGTGCGTGTGTATGTTTGTGTGTCTGGGTGCGAGCATGTATTGGAGTTTGTGTGTGTGTGTGTGTGTGTGTGTGAGGGAGACTGGAAGTAGGGGATGAGAGAACCTTAGGAGAGTAGAAAGAGTGACATCAACAGGCGAACTGTGTTATTAACTCCAGCATACAAAAACAAGTACAGTACCAATCCATACTTAGGCTGGGAATCAGAAGGATACGTATCGTTTTAGATGTCATACGAAGTCAGACAGCCAGTTTCAGATATAAAACTAATCTAAACAGGATATTGCCATGCACAAATTGCAAGGAAATGTTATGCTTATTAAAGCATCTGCAGAGTTTATGGGATGACGAATCTGGAATTGGCGCATACAATAGAGTACGAATATTAGATTCATTAACTTAATCATCTTGCTCTGAAAACGGGTCGAAAGTATCTGTTTGCTGTCTGAACTGTTTTTTTTCCTGTCGCGTCCACTATTAGATGATAAAAACGGTAAAAGGGCAACAGAAAGATAAAACCATAAAACAAAAGGTTCTACGCCAATGTGTATGACTGCTTCTTTCACTTCGATCCAGAGTTGATTCCTACATGTCCCTGATTCAATTTTTTTTTTTCAAAGAAAAGGAACAACATTGAAAACAACCATCTACAACAGAGCAATCCTGTTAGATTGCCGAGTTCTCCAGTTTGGAAAATGCGTCTCTTAGCAGCACTATATACTCCGTTAACGTTTGGTGATTCCTGAAAGTCAGTTGAATTGCAGTACTTTGCAACAGCTACTTTTACTTTATTTAACAGCAAGTCGCCAGAGCAACCTGTGCATGAAGGGCACATGAACGTTACTCGCAGTAATATATTCGTAATGCTTATATAAGCACAACGAACCGGCACCCGTTTTCTGCAATACAGTCTAGTACTAACAGGCCGGGTTCTGCAGTTTTTCCCGTGTTATAAGATTTCCATACAGTGTGTTTGCGGAGGCTTTTGAGCAGATCGGCGGTACTGCTGATGCAGTCGTCAGCAGAGGACGGTCGCTGCATCCTAATAGCGATCCGGTGTGAGAAACACCCGGCTGCCGCAGTCTCCCCGGTGCGCCTGTTCCTTCGCTACCGCGCCGCGCCGCGATTAACGGCGCATTTCAGCTGTATATATCACTGCGTCTGAGGCGTCGATTATTTTCCGCATCGCTCTTCTCCCCCGAGGGGCTTTTTATTATACGTTTCATGCGGAGCTGGCGCCTGTTAACCTTGAAAGTGTACAAACACAAGTGCGCTGGTCAATTTGTTTTCGTATTAATTCCCAAGCAGTATAATTACAATTTCCATAAACTGTGCTGGCTGTAATAAGTCACCCTGGGGACGAGATCGGTTTATCTGCTCATATGGATGTCCAATATAAGGGCAGTTTTGCAAAAGAAAGGGTTGATTATCATTAAATATGTAAACCTACTTATAACGTCAACATTATGTAAAAGTAGTATGTTCATATTCAGCACCAAGGCTAGCGTTCAAGTATGCGCCTGGCTTGCTTGTTGAATCTATATCGTTGTTCAGTTTCTTTACTGATAATCAAAGGCCCAGCTCTGTTTTCTACTCATCGTCTACTTATGAACATGCATATTATGTCCCGCTATTCAGACGCAAACGTTAAAGATTTAGTCCCCTTTTACGTAAGGAATTTCAATATAGCTACAAACTTGCTGCAAACGGTAGATATATACGCGTATATCTGCTAGGTGCCTGTTATGCAAGAGGCCTTTTTACAGAGATAGAATGTAGGCAAGGGCGTAACTCTGGTTTGAACGTGGGGGGGCGGGGGAGGTCTCCACTCTTTTAGGGGGGAGACATGATTATTGGGAGGGGTTGTATTAGCCGGATTTGGTGCGGTGTGTGTGTGTGTGTGTGTGCGACCCCCCAGTAATTTATGCTCATGAATGTATGTCAGTACACTGCTACACTAATGTTACTCCTTGCTGCTATTCATCTTAATGTGTCAGTCTGGGATGGCAGACATATCTAAGTAAAGCCATTCTCACTGTTTCTGTGTCCAGATCCGGAGAGTAACTATGCCACAACTTGATTAGTGATGTTATATAATGACCACGATCTGCCAGACTTCTCCCTTTCATGGGATTGCAGGCCAGGGCAGGCTGAGGACAGCTGCTGACTGATGTGGAATTCATGTCTAGGCAGATTGCATTATGGGGCAAGTTTGGGATGTGGTGGATGGTGGAATGGGGGTTAATGAAACCGTGAATGAAAGCTGTTCTTCTTTCACCAAGGTCACTGCGGATCTGTATACAGTCAGCAGCAGGCAAACAGCATAAACAGGCTAAGATGTGGCCCTACTTGGGATTATTTAGATCCGGGGTGGCCAATCTGCTCCAGAAAGGGCTGTTGTGTGTGTGGGTTTCCGCTGTAGTCGGTCCTTTATGGATGAAATTGGCCACCCCAATGTAGACCGTAGCTGTTTCTGTAAGCCAGACATTTTGAGTCATGGTCCATCCGAATCTTTTAATCAAGGGGTCTTTACCAGGGGGAGATTTTCCCCATAAGTCGAAGTATCTTTTACTGTCAGCTTCAGATATATGATGCATGGAGGTGAAATGTCACTCTTGTCGGTCATAGTGCCAGTGAGAATGTAAATAAAGACATGGACATAGACTAAGAAATACATTTCACTATGTGATTACTGCAAATTTAGTACAGAATAAAAAGTCTGGTTTCCTTTTTGGTTTCATGTATTGTGGGGACTAAGAGACTGGGCCTATACACAGAAGGTTTTAGGTTCGAATCCCAGCAGGGGCTTAACCAAACATGGGCAGGAAGTGGCAGGCCTCTTACCGCGGTGCCTGAAGGCCGCTAACAAGGCTGCCGGGCGAGGGGGACTCGGAGGCCCACGACAGGCCGCTCGCGTCTGATTTACGGCGCAGGCCGTGCCTTCGCAGGTAATGTAATCACTCAGGGGCGCCGTGGAAGCCATGTGAACTTCATTTGAAGCCCCCCAGACAGAGCCCCCCCCATCCTTAAGGCATGTAATGGCAGACATCCCGAGCCAATTAAATGTGGGACGGGAATAGATTCACTCACAAACGAGGCCGGTTTTTGTCCCCAGTTGTTTTTTTGTTCTTTTTATCATACAGACAAACTGCCTACGTATGCGTGTAAGTCACCTGCTATCCGAGAAGGCAGATCTGCTGTGGAGGAGGAAAAGAAGTAGGCAGTGATGCATTTGTGTAGCCGGGTGGGGGTGGGGGGGTCTTTCAGGACAGCGGCGCCCCCATCCTCCCAAATTAAACTAGACTGGCAGCATTCTGTCATTTGTCGATCTGAGCACGTGGCGAGTTCCTGAGGAGGGTGTCCTGTGAGCCCGACTGACAGCGTAGGTATAAGCAAAAGTACAGTCCTCCTGTTCTACTATTCAGGGTTTAAATTCAGCTTCAGAGGCATATTTTCATAGACATTTTGCCCAGCAGGCTTAGTGTATAAGCATGTAAATATGTGCCCTTTGCCTTTGAATGGTCGTATCTATACATTAAATTAGTGCACAGCAGGTGAGGTGAAGCTGATTTTCATCATTAAAACATCCCACAGTGTGCATTTCAGATGCCTTGGATACAATTTTCAGCAAAGCAACCAAATGTTGGCGCGGAATTTATAAAGCAATCTGCATTTTAAATGTAAAATAGTGACTCTTAAACCCATCACTCTATTTTATAAATATGGGAGCTGATAATCCAAATAATTACAGAATTTATTAATGTATTTATTTTTGACAGAATCTTTTTCATTTTACTGTGTGAGATTCATCATCTTTAAGGCCGTGTCTGTGGGCTTTCTGTGGTACGGCAGTTTCAGTACCGAATGGCCATAATCCTCTTTATTTTGAAAAAGGGAAAAATCCTTTTAGCGACGCAGTGTTACTTAACAGGGAAGCAAGCCGACCGCACATGGAATAATGTTGCGTCCAGGCTGCTCAGGTTCTCTGGTGTGGCGGTACAGCTGTGTTCTGGAACATTCCGCCTATCTGCTCCCGGCTCACGGGGCCCATCAGAGTGGCAGGTGGTTTCTCTTCCCAACATGCCCCCCTCCCTGCTCATTAGGACCCTTTATCTGGTTCATTGGTTCTCTTACCATGAATATAGTTTCCCAGAATCGATTAACTGTACATTTCATGTCTTTTTTTCCCCCCAAACCAAAATCATCAACGCATCTGGAAAAATAAAAAGCTTAAAAAGCAACCATCAGATAAATGCTGATTGGTTAGTCGACTGGGGAGGGGCTTGTTGTGTTTACCTAATCCAGTGTTTCCCAATCCGGTCCTCGGAGACTCACAGACGGTCCATGTTTTTACTCTTTCTCAGCTCCCTGCCAGACAGTCTGCATCTGTGTTCCCTCCCGGGAGCTGGGAGGGAACAAAAACGTGGACTGCTGCAGGTCCACAAAGACCGCATTGGGAAACACTGACCTAATCTATCACAATATGCTAATATACCCTCTTTGGCCACTTCATTAAAAACATCTATCATGCCCCATTTGTTTCTAGAACCACTGTTATACTGGGCTCTTGTTTTGCTCAAGACTATCCTGTTTTCTTTAATAAATTTGGCCATATCTCTTCTGACCTTAACAAGGAGTTTTTGCTCACAGATATTCTGCTGACAGGATTATTTTCTCGTTAATTACACCATTCTCTGTAAACTCTAGACACCATGGAGGGTGGTGGTTCTCTCTGCGATGCAGCATGCATAACGCAGAGTTTATCGCACCACATTCAAACCTGCTTAGATTGTGCATGTTAGCCATTCTAATGCTGAGTCAAACAGTGAGCGAACCAATTAACCTGGGGAGGGGGGGGGGGTATTTCACAAAGCAGCGTTTCCCAATTAACTGGGTAACTTAAGACAAACATGAAAACTGTCCAATAGGAGGAGAAGTTTGTGACACTGATATTGGACAATCCTTAAATTTGGCTTATCTAGTTAATAAAAAAAAAATCCTGCTTTGTGTTTTGCATGTATACAGTTTGCAGCTTCATGATTGGCTGTTTGCATTACCTAATAATCTAGCCACTGTGTGTATATAATATATTAGACAAAATATAGACTTTGATATATTAAATAGCAACGTTAACCATGCCTGCAACTGGCCAGTTGCTTCTGTTCAACCACAACAAGCCAGTTCGTATAGGAAATTATTTAAAAAAAATTCAAGCCCAGAAACCTACAGCCTTTACAGAGGAGTGGGGGAGAGATCGGTTCCCATAGCAACAAACTAGATCAACAAGTTGCGTGTTTTACTGTTGACCAGGGGACAGAGTGCTGGTAAGTGTGGATGTCTGGAAGAACGATGCTTTTTCTGTCAGGGTCTGCATTCTCATTAGCTGGGTTGGAACCTCGTGTGACAGATTCGGCACGTGAGGCAGGGGCTGCAGTCATGTTCCCATGGTAACTGGGTCACGCAGGTACACCCTCCTCCATCCCACCTAGGTGACTGTGATAATTAGTGGAGGTTGACGTGATTTTTGCTTTCCGTCACCTCCGGCGAGCTGCACATATTTAAACATGCGTGCTTCTGATCAGACACGGGTCAACCAGAACAGGCTGATCTACAGGAACCCAACAGTCCAGAATGAGTTAAAGGAATGGTTGTGGTATCAGAAGGATTCGGTTTCAGATCATTAAGTCTTGCTGTGATATACTTCAGCGAGGTCCTTAACCTGATTTTTTTTCCCCTTTAAAATAACCATCTGTATAAATTTTGTTTCTTATGAATTGCTTTATATGGAAGAACAATCGAGATCTGAGGCCCGATCTGGGTCCAGTCCTGTTGGGTGAAGCAGCTTCACTTTGCATTTGCCTGTGAAGATTTTTGTTAGAGCTGAAAACCGTGTTGGGAGGAAGACAGGCATGCAGTCCCCACGTTCCTTCAACATTTCAAGCTATTTTAACAAACGCTGTAGAAAAACTGCAGCCTTCCTTGGTTCCACTCTGCCACCTGGTGGACAAATTCTGGCACTGTCCGGTGATGTAATACATGCATGTTTTCCTCATGCTAGCATATCTCAGCAGTTAATTTAGGGAAAAATTCACAAGTAATCACGTTAGGAATGTCTCGATATTAGCCCTGGCCGCTAGGCTCACCCAGATGGCCAGCAGCTCTCCACGCTTAAGCACACCTCACGCAGCTCTCCAGCTTATTGGCAGGTTGAGCAGACGTGTTGGAGGCTGGCCCTCCAGGACCAAAGTCTAGGAACCCTGGCCTACTGCAAAGCCGCGAGCCATGCCTGAGGATCTGAGCTGCATGTCATTGGATAGAGGGACTGCTCTGAGCGCCCCCTCATGGCACAGAAAAGCAGTTGTCACGCGAAGTCCTCCCTGAACCTCGCAGCTGTTTCTGAAATGCCTGAAGGATTCTGTCAGGTCGACCCCACCCACTGAGGATTTATAGCACCGAGAGTCCCACCTGCTGTGCTGCCCCCCCCACCATTTTTTTCCATTCCATTACAGTGTCTGCTGTCACAGACTGAAACAGAATACTGTTTATCTCTCACTGAAAACACTATCCATAACAACCCAGAACACACATGTGACATGCATGTGAACTGCATGAATGCTAATAAGAGATTCTTGTTCATATAACAGCAAAGGCACCTAAAGTGCAAACATATACTACACGTTACACACCTTCCTGATTGTACCTGAAAAATTGTCAAATTGTTTAAACAAAAGAATAACGGAGATCTCTGTGCCTTCGTACGTAATCACCTTTACTTATTTTTTGACAGTGCCACTTCCTGTTTGGAAGCAGAGAAGGATTCTGACAGTGCCACTTCCTGTTTGGAAGTAGATAACTGCTTTTGTGCGTTTTAAATTCTCCTGGCTTGCATGTGTGACTCTGCTCGTGGCCTATGTACATTCCCACAGGTTCTGCCACATCAGCGGCCAGTGCAGCGAGCATACAGAGTACCCCCCCACCCAAAAACACACACACCTAAAGGACATCAAAAATCACAAAGTAATATGGGGGTGGGGAAGGAGACCACACAGTTTTAAGCCAGTATATTTACACTGCATTTATGAACCAGCAGCTGATGAAATTAAGGTGCTAATTAGCAGCATTAAGAAGATACACACAGTGACGATACGCATTTCCTCTGTGAATATAATCACACCGCAACAAACAGAAAGGCTCAATTTACGCTTCAGACACCAGGCTGGATACCAGCCCATACCAGGCTGGAGTAAGGGGCTCCCCAGCAGGGGGCTGGCGGGCACCCTGATGGGCATCGTGATGGGGAGGTCAGAGGAGAATGGGATTCTAGTTTAGTGTATAACTGAGCTCAGCTGTTGGGGGCAGGGGGGGGCTTGGACTATGGCTGCGAGTTTAGGGCCCCAGTCAGGTAGAGAGGCATCCAGAAGCTGGGTTTGGCGGAAGCTCTTTAATGTTAGACTTTGACATTCTTACGTATAGGTGGTGTAGGAGCTCTCAGGAGCTCAGGCCTGGTAGAGGGGAACCACCCTGTTTATGTGCTGCCTGCAGATGGGGCAGATGGGCTGCAGCAGGACCTGGGAGCACTGGAAACAGCAGCAGACATGTCCGCAGTCCAGCAGCACGCAGCTGCGCGCCCTGCTCATGCAGATCACGCAGGCGTTGTCGGGCAGCTCGTCGCCCTCGCCCAGGTCATCGAACTCCCGCCGCAGACGCTCCTGCTCCCGCCGGGCCTGTAGGTGGCGGTAGTGGCGCCGGGCGGCCCAGAGGAGTACCGCAACGCCAGCCAGCAGGCACGCCAGACCCAGTGCCCGCCACATCCACGCCTGGCCCGCCTGCGCTGCCTGCATCGTCTCGAAGTCGACCGGCGTGAGGAAGAACTCAGACCCATCCGCGGGTGGCCGCAGCTTAAGCGTGCAGTCCGTGTCGAGGAAGAGCTCGCCCACGCCCGTCAGCGTGGCCCCTACTTTCACCATCTCCTCCATCTCCAGTTGGCCCTTGGGCTTCTCCCCACTCAGGTACTGGCCGATGATGTCCGTGAAGCCGTAGCTGGCCTGGTGGAACTTCTCGTGGACGATTTCCATGTCCAGGCCTGAGGCCTCCAGTGGACAGAGCACACGGACGGCCGCCTCGTCCGAGCCCACGAGGTTAAAGGGCACCGTGTTGACACGCTGATGCAGGATCCGCTCGCTATCTGTCCTATGGGCCAAAAAGAGGTGTAAGTAAGAGACAAGAACCATCCTGCAGGAGATCTCCAGCAATAACACCTAGAAGGAATAGATAGCAAATACACTGAACATACACTGGGACATTCTGTCAGATATTCTGTCAGAATATCTCATGTTATACCCCTTTCTTGTCTCTCTTCACCGGCACCCTAATGCTGCTCACATCATGTTCAAGTTCAGCATGGTGCTGGCTTACATGTCCATCAAAGGACAGGCACCAATCTCTGTCAAAAGGCTCCTCAAGATCTATGTCTCATCCCACCCCCTTCGGTAAGCAAACCAACGATGCTTCTTTTGTGTGGTTCCTCGATGGTGGAATGAGCTACTGAACAATGTCCACTCATCTGACTTCCTCTCTACTTTGATGAATCAACTTAAAACCCATCTGTTCCATGAATCCCTATACTATCCTGATTATTCTTTGAATGCTTTTGCACTTACTGGCTGTTGAGTAGTCTTATTAGGTTCTCACTTTGTTAATAGTTTTATGTGCAGTTGTGTGGTTGTTGGGGAGCTCTTGCTCCAGAACTGCTTACACTTGTACCTGAGCATTCACTGGAAGCTCAGCATAAATACTGTACTGTACCTGAGCATTCACTGGAAGCTCAGCCTAATTACTGTACTGTACCTGAGCATTCACTGGAAGCTCAGCCTAAATACTGTACTGTAACTGGGCATTCACTGGAAGCTCAGCCTTGCTGCACTTGCTGCCTAGTTGACTCCTTGACGGCATGAATGTTTGCAATGTGCTACTTTCCTCACCATAAGTCGCTTTGGGGCGAGTGTCTCTTAAATGTGTGAATGTGAATTTGCATACCACCAGCAACATCAGCATGACAGAACTGGACTTGGCCCGGTCCCGGTCCATACCATGTACGGGCCAGGCTGTTCCACACCAGTTTGTGCTCCCTGAGAACCAGCTTCTGTACCACGCCAATGCTGCCCTCCTGGAACTGACTGCGGAGTGGCTCCCCCACTGGCTGCACCCTCCCTGGGCACCACAGTGGAAGGGCGGTAAGGAGAGAGGCAGGTCAGGGAGGTTAATTCCGAACACGGCGCTCCACACCATTGTTTAGAGAAGCCGGACAGAGACCTGCAGTGAGGCGGCCGGCCAGGAGCACGGAGGAGGCTGCTCACCTTGGATGATTACATACTGGAGACATTTCCCAGGGGTGGCATTTAAAATGCTAGCGAGACTTTTGTCCAGAGATAGTCGAGGTGCTTCCTGGAAGCCATGCAGACAGAATCGCAGTTTAAACCATTCGGCCTCTTCTCTGTCATTTATGTTTGCTTCAAATCGGTTTCATGGCAACATGCTCTCAGTGCAGAAAAGCAGCCAGAATTTTTTCACACACAGGAACACATATACTCCTTAACATCCACACGATTTATATTATGTAAGAATGTATGATGTTTTAATTCTTACGCAGATTTCAAGTGCGGCTAAAGCAGAACACAAACCTTGAGTCTGTTCACCGTTTTCCGTTTCTTCCTGTACAGGAAATAGAAGAGTCCTGACAAAGCCACGCTGGTGCCAAGGCATACCACTTCCACCGTTTTCAGCGGAAAGTCATTCATCTTCACACACCGGGGTCTTGGAAACGGGCAAGACAGAGTTAGTTTTGCAATTCTGACTTACAGGAATGCTTTAGTGGATGATCTGTAATGGTGATTTATTTTATTTTATTAAAGCTGCAAATGTACTTGTTTTTTTTATCATTTACATTTATGAGCGCGTGTGTAAAGTCATTTAAAACGGCGACATGTAAGCCTCGTGGATTTAAATTAAACTGTGAATGACCTACAAAATGCCTGCTTTATTGTAGAAAGTTGGACGTTCGTAATCTTCAAGCGTAACATAATTATAAACCATGAAACTTGGGCAGTGAAGGTACATTTCGGTTTTACTTTTGTTGTCTTCTACATCAGATAATCGAACATTACACATTACTGTCATATGTGCCAATGGAAATGGATTATGTTACATTGTGTAAAACACTGTTATTTTTTTTATGCAAATTGAAATAAACGAGAGCAGTTATAGTTGGGTAGATGTCAAAATGTCTAATAATTATACATTTTAACTTGATTGGAGATATCTAGATTCCATATAACCCAATAACAGCCAAAAAAGCAACAGATTAGTATTCATGCAGCATTTTGTTAAGGTTTCCTTACAAACGACATTTCCTAAGAATGTAACACGCTAGCTGGCTAGTTCGGCTACTCGATGTTAAGGTTTTTGGTTATCTTCAGACTAAAATATCTAGTACAATTTTAGAACGCATTTTGAAAATCTAAATCTTAATTTATATCGCTAATGCCGATGGTTTAAATGTACATTATCTGTGTGTTTCTTGGTATTTACTTCTTTAAAAAGCTTCGGGTGACATTCCCTCCCCCGGAAGTGCTGCTCTCGGCCGGAAGGGGAAAGGTCCTTCGGCGGTTATCCCTGGTCATGTGACCGGCTTGTTAGTCACACGTGTCACGGCCTGTGTGCTTGGGTAGCAATGGCATCGGGTGGGAGAAAGAAGTCTGTAGGTCCGCCGTCTCGGGTGTGGGGCACGCTGCGCACTCTTTGGCAGGAGAAGCATATGGTCTTATTCAAAGCGGAGTATACGTTTCTGGTGACTGCTGTGCTTTGGCTTTTCGAAATCGGCATCAACATATGGGTGATTCAAAAAGTCGCGTGTAAGTTAACGTAGACAACATCACTGTTACTAACTGGTGATAGGTGAAACGGACTTTCTGGCTGTGTGCATTTTAATAACAGGCTTGTTTGCTGCGGGTTGTCGGTCCTCTGCTACTTAGTTTAAAATTGCGGCAAATTAAAAGATAACTGTCTGCACCTCAAGTTAATAAAAGAGTTACGTGTGGTCTCTCGGACCTGTTTTTCGGAGGTATCATTGATGTAAAGAGCCGTGCTTTCAAGTCAGGAAACTGTGTGCGTTTGTAGTTCGGTTGTTGAACGTAAGATAAGTAATCATGTAAACGCGTTTTTTGGAGCGAGCGATAACGGCTCGATCTGAGCTAATGAAGTCATTCATTCGCGTATCTTCTGTCAGACACAGAGATCGACTGGAAAGCGTACATGGAAGAGGTGGAAGGAGTCATCAATGGCACCTACGACTATACCCTACTTAAAGGAGGCACCGGCCCTTTGGTGTGAGTACCATCCGAAGAGCATTGTACCTCTGACCAGTCTTAAAAGGTGGTCGACCGCTGGAGGCTATTTGCCTTCAATCTCCCGTTTGTCTTTTTGCGCACAGGTACCCAGCTGGTTTTGTATACATCTTCACGGCTCTGTACTACATAACTGGCCACGGGCTGAATATCCGGATGGGGCAGTACCTGTTTGCTGCTTTTTACTTAGTCACTTTGCTGCTGGTCTTCCGTATCTACCACCGAACCCAGAGGGTGAGCATGGCACCATGGCTGGCAGAGAAATATACGCTTTTATCCAGCAAAGCAGGTGCATGTGACTGGAGATACAGTTCAGGGTAATGATTTTAAATGGTACAACAGCATTTCTCTTTTGGGACCTGCCTTTTAATCCAAAGTGTATTCTGATTAAGCCTGGATAGTGGTGTCGTATATTTTGGTGGCTGTGCTTTAGTGACCGGTCTTTGGTGGCTGGATCCAGGTCCCTCCCTACGTCTTCTTCTTCGTGTGCTGTGCCTCCTACCGCATCCACTCCATCTACGTTTTGCGGCTCTTCAACGATCCGGTGGCCATGATGCTGCTGTTCGGTGCCACCAACCTCTTCCTGGAAGGCCACTGGACCATGGGCTGCGCTTTCTACAGGCGAGTCTGGGTGTTAATGGAACCACAGTCCCGCTCCTTTTGAAAGATCGGCCTTGCCTTTTTGTTGCCTTGCTCAGGTCACATGACAGGTTCCGCATGTGTGCGTGACATGACCACCCTCTTGGGCCCCACCTGCAGTCTGGCCGTGTCGGTGAAGATGAACGTGCTCCTCTTCGCTCCGGGGCTCCTCTTCCTTCTCCTCTGGGAGTTTGGCTGGCAGGGCACCCTTCCCCGACTGAGCCTCTGTGCCACTATACAGGTGACCTACTTGTGACCTTACATCCACCACGTGACCACGTGTTAACTTGTTAAACATTTCCATTAGAAATATATTGCCCATAGTTGTATCCAGGAACTAGATGGACCAACAGACTTTCGTTTCCTTAGTGCTTAAATGAATCATAATCTAAAAGCACACCTTTTAATACTACTGTTGGTGGTTTATTACTGTTGTGTGTTTAAAGTACTGTTTTGTAGCTGAAACTTGTCCGAAAGCAACAGTTCCTAATTTATAAAAGTAAATCAATGTATTGCAGCTGTTCAGGTTTATACAAAGGTGCAACAGCAGGCCCTTCTGGCATCTGGCAGCTTTCAGACAATGACTCAGTGTCTTAGGGTTAGGAGTGGTGAGGAGCCTGGGCTGAAGGTGGCCTTTGTGTCCCACAGTTGCTGCTCGGCCTGCCGTTCCTCCTTGCGAACCCCGTGGGCTACATCAGCCGCGCCTTCGACTTGGGACGCCAATTCCTCTTTAGGTGGACCGTCAACTGGCGCTTCCTCCCAGAGGAGATCTTCCTGAGCCGCTATTTCCACCTCAGCCTGCTGGGGGCGCACCTGCTGACCCTGGTGCTGTTTGCACTCCTCAGGTGGAAAAGGTACTGCGGCTGGAAATCTAAAGGCAACCCCCTCAACCTAAACAGCCCTAAACCCTTGAAAATGGTCAAATGAATCCATCCACTGCTCTTTCAGGCCTGGAGAGAGCATCATGGCGCTGCTGAAGGACCCGTCCAAGAGGACACAGCCTCAGAAGCTGAGTCCTGACCATATCCTGTTTCTTGACCCTTGTGGTAGAGTGCCTCATTCTCAGCAGCCTTGTGGTTGATTTTCTAGCTGCTTAACTGGATGTATAGTGTACCATGTGACCTTAACAGCCAATCACAGATCATCAGCATCCTGTTCACGTCCAACTTCATTGGCATGTGCTTCAGCCGCTCGCTGCACTATCAGTTCTACGTGTGGTATTTCCACACCCTGCCCTACCTACTGTGGAGTGGGGGGGTGAAGAAGCTGGCCCACCTGCTTAGGTAGCCCCCCCCCCCGTCGACACTGGTTTCCATTCAGGGGGAGCTCAAGGTCACCTTGTCCTGACTGTTACCTCTGTCTTTCCAGGGTCCTGATCCTGGGGCTGATCGAGCTATGCTGGAACACATATCCGTCCACGGTGTACAGCTCAGCTGCCCTCCACGTGTGTCACCTTGTCATCCTGCTGTCCCTGTGGTTGGCACCTCAGGAGGGTGGGGACAAGCCCAAACGGTCCTGAGCAGGGACCTGCCCTTTGCTCTGCGTGGTGAGACATGGGTTGACTGCAGGTGTGGGTGTCACTCTTAAGCATCACTGAGGCGTCTCTGCCTCTGGCCCCGCCCATACCCCCCCCCCCCCCCCCCATGGATTTCATGGGGGTTAGCGTAAACGGAGTCCTCTTCCACTTCCTGCCGATAGTCATACTGGTACCCAGGGAACCACTGTTCACACAGACAAGGAAACAGGATGACAGGAAGTTCTCAGGTTTTACAAACTGACTCTTGAAGCCGGCCAATAAAACTAGGAAGTATTTTGTGTGGTGGTTTAAGAAAGAGTATGTTATTTTATTTGGATGTTTACATGGTTTGTGTGTTTGGTTAAGTTAGTCCAATAGTAATGCAAGCCTGGTCCTCTTAGTTTTTCATGAATCGTGTCAGCTATCTGAGCTGGGTAACAGGTACCTTGCCATTTTTGCGGCTTGTCAGGTGCAGGTCAGTGGCTTAACGGATTTGCTTTTTGTGAGCTTATAGTGCCTGCTGCACTCGCGTCGTCGGGGGGCAGGGAAATGTGTGACAGTAATGCTCAGAGCAGGACAAAAACTCATCATTCCGAAACAAAAATGGCACTGATGGTAATAGACTGTGAATTGCCAATATACAATCATATGGAAGTTTGTGATGCATTTTTAAATGAATCTATGCAGTATTGAGAATCATTGCTGTAAATATAATAAAATCGGCATTCAGCAGAGTCTGGTGGAGTGTGTGGTTGGTGTGAAAATGGACAGATGTCTGTTGCTGAATCTGCCATTTTATTTTTCATCTGCAGCGATATGTTCATAAGCCATCCTCCGTATGCAGGTGAGTCTGATGTTCATAATGTTCCTCTGACATTCTCCGTACTGTAAATAAATGCAGGTTATGCTGTGATGGAATGGGATTGTTCTGTTTTACCTGAAGCGTGCACATGTACAGTTGGATGTGACCCAAAAGTCTGACATTATGGTCGAATAGTTTAGTCATGCGCCACCTACTTAAGCTCTTGCGCGTTTCATTCGCTTGATCAGAAAGATGGTTTTCTTTTTGCAGTTTAGCATCAAGGGTGCTCTCTACCATATTTCTTAGCATTTGGTCAATTCAACTAATTTTTTTTTATTTAAATTGCCCAAAAATAAAATTTGACCAAATGAAACACTGTGTAAATATCTGGAAAAAGTTCTTACTGCATGGTTGCTATCTGACTTTTTTTAATAGCATTTTTCATTGCCAAGTTTTACTTAGGTTTATTTAAACAACAGCCTGGTGGCATAGTGGTTAGCACTGTCGTCTCACACCTCTGGGACCGGGGTTCAAGTCTCCGCTGGGGTGCTCTCTACCATATTTCTTAGCTTGTATGGTCTCGAGTGGGTGGAGTGAGGGAGGGGTGTGTGTGTGCGTGCAAAGAAAATGGAGTGAGGGATGAGTGGAGGGAGTGGTGTGTGCACAAAGTGGTGTGTGCACAAAGTGAGGGATGAGTGGAGGGAGCGGGGTGTGTGTGTGCGCAAAGAAAGTGGAGTGAGGGAGGGGTGAGTGTGTGTGTGCGCAAAGAAAAAGGGGTGTGTGCAAAGATAATGACTTCAGAAAATGCACTATCTGTTGAATGACCTGAGATTGCATATTACCAAGTGGGTAAAACTCTGTTTTTGAGGTTTTAACCTCTAAACATGCTTGAAAAATAAGGATTCTTTTTTATTTTAATTTTTTATTCATCTGACTGGGGGCAAGCAGCAATGTAAAGACACACATCTCACAGGTGACCATACAGGTGTGGCGGCACACGTGGCTTTTCACATGTTGTCGGGGTTGTAGCACAGCATGTTGAGCTTTATATTCTCGTCCCAGTGGCGGATGAGCAGGAAGAGCTGGCGCGCTGCCCCCTTCAGGCCAGCCAGGTCCACACCCTCAGGCAGCCGCTGACTCCTCAGCCAGAAGTCTGCTTTTGCGGCCACCAGTTCCCACTCCACGAAGAAGCCGGCGCAGCGGTGCTCCAGCCAGGCCAGGGCCACAGCTGTGGCCCAGCTTGAGCCCTCTAGGTCCTGCTGGTCGTCAGACTGGTCTGGGGGCTCTAGCAGAAACCCCTCACATACATCAGTCTCCGAGCCCCTTCCACTGTCTGCCTGCATCACACCCCCTAATGGGTCTGGGGAGGCCCCTCCCAAGTTCTTTGTATCTAAGGTCAGGTTTGTGGGCTCGCTGCTGCGGTAGCGCCTGGCCCTCGGCCGCAGAGCTGGAATGCTCGCGTCAGCACTGACTGCATGGCTAAGGCCCCGGAGGGGCTTGGAGCTGGTGGTGGGAAACGAACAGCGGAACGGGGGACTCAGGCTTCTTCGGTGGCAGGTGTAAGGCGAGGCCCTCTTCAAGCGATCCAGGGGGATCTGTACACACTCTGAGTACTGCTCCGTCAGCAGGAAGGCCCCGGAAGCTAGCTGCAGCCAAATCTGTGTGTGGGGTACATTTGGGTCGTGAGCACATCTACCCCAAGGGCATCGTATAATGAAGGATTCAGGTGAGCTTTCATTGACGGGCAGGGTTTGGCATGGCCAGGTTTACCAGCGACATGTAATCCCTGTTGTCCGAATCCGGCTGGTTCTCCGACAGGCAGTGGGGCTTGCTCTGCATCTGTCTGCTCATCGATTCGGTGGTCCGGAGCCGACCCAAGGTGAATCTACGGGACAATTACGCTCTCTGTTACAGTAGATCTGGACCCTGTGGTTTGTGCTTTACTGTTAAAAGTGACAAAGGACAAGGTTTGGACTGGCAACCTTCCTCACCTGGACCCGAAGAAGCTCTCTACGGACCAGCTCTCCATCGAGCGCTGAGAACGTGTGGACACAGCCGAGGGGCTGGCAGGGTTCCAGGTACCGCCGGTACCTGGGGAAGGAGGGGGACACGGGTAAGTCAAAGAAAAGCAAAGCAGCCCCCTGACGTGCGGGTCTGTTTGGCTTATGATCTGGTTTTGATCTTGAAGTCGTCTGGGATCACCATAGGAATGTGGGAAGATGCCCCACAGAGAGGACCAGCAGGAAACACAAGAAAGATGGCTGGCCATTACTCACTGCTGTCCCAGGATGTCAGGCTGCAGGGGGAGGCAGGTGTGTCGTCCCTGTCTGGAAGGAGGACACGCTTGAGGGTCGTGCTCAAACCCTAGTTGGCTCACCAAATGGATGAGCCTGATCTGATGCCCCTCCCTATGAGAGGATCTCAATCCAGCCTCAGCTTTCCATAATGTATGATTTAGCTCGAACTGAGGCAAAACCATGAGGTTCTGGGTTCCGGTCTCAAAACAGGATGTCATAGAAAATTGACATCGTGATGCTTGGACCAGCTGCTTACCTGTGCACATAGAGGTGTCCTCGAGGTCTTCAGAGTCCCTGGTAGAGGGTCTGCGGTCCAGGCCCACAGAGTAAGCCCTGCCTCTTTGCCGTGCGGTAGACCGTGACCCTACGCAAGGACAGTGGTCACAGGCGACTTAGGGCTTGTGTGATAAAGTCCATAGCTGCAGTTTGTTTTGAAACATTTCCCCCCATTTGAGTGAAAAGCACAAAAGTTTTAAGCATTTTTAATATGAGCTCCCAAAGTAGAATGTTTTGTCAATAGCCTGAGACTTATGACTGTCCCTGTCTGGCATACCCCTGTTGCGCACTTCTACAGAGCCCACGGGGCCCTCGTTGGTATTGGTGTCAATGGCGACAAAGCTTGTGTACATGCAGGTGGTGTTGCAGGCTTTGCTCGTCTGGATGGCTTTCATGCGGTACCTCTTTGATGGACCTGGAATGAAAAGAAATGCATCATTTCTATTTGCTCTGCCGACCTTCCTGGATGTGTCTAGCTCTCACCATGCTCCGCCTCAGGCTCCCTCTCCGCCATGTTCTCAAAGTCTCTGATGACAGACCGTGCAGTCAGCTGATGCATGATTTCCTTCCAGTCACCAGCCACTGGGCCCAGGTCCTTAGGCCTCCACAGCTGGGAGAGATCAACAACAACCTCCCAGGACACGGGTTTGTCCCCAAGGAGACCATGGATGACAGAGCGACACTGGGTGCGGGGCTCTGCGGTTTCCTCGGGTGAAGCAGCGGCAAACAGGCACTCGGGGTCCGTGAAGTTGTCCCAATCCAGGGGGGAGGCAGGGAACACCAGGCTGTCTGGATTGTGGGACGGTATACAAACAGATAAAAGATAAGCAGTGCTGGAGGTACTGGCTGCAGTGGCTGGTTTTCTGTGGGCTCCCACTCACTGGAATCAGTGAGGCTCCTACGGGACAGAACCTCCCGCTGGTTCGGCAGCACCCTGCCGTCACCCTCATCCACCCGGCCGCCCAGGGTCTGGTGAAAGGAGACCTTCTCGAGAGCGCGCCGCAGGCGGTAGAGGTCCAGTTCTCCCTGAGGAGAAGAGAAGCTGCGTCCCGACAAAGCAGATCGGGCCAGCGCCATCCGTCTACGCTGGCACTCCTCCTGTAACACCAGGGGGACATGGTGGTCTGAGTCAGACCACACTTGCGCAAAACTCCAGAAAACCCAGAAGTCCTTTGCCCATTTAATTGTATAGATCTACTTCCCTGAATAACATGTATATTTTTCTTTACTGGCTCCCTTGTAACCTATACAGGAGCTCCTCCTACTCCACCGCCAGCAGTAGGGGTGGGAGGTGCCTTCAGGAAGCACAGTGGGTTCTGTCATTGGTCACATTTCTGATTCCCACTGGGTAAAATGCTGCAATTATTGATTGCACAGACCCACTCTTGGTTCTGAGGTCCGCCACTTTGCGTATAGTCCCTCCTACCCTTCCAGTCCCAGCATCCGTGCCATCTGAGGAGCTGGCGTGAGTCCATGGCGACTCCCAGCGAGACAGGGCCCTGGGCTCTAGGGGGGCCATCCTCTCTAGTCCGTGAGGTAGAGAGCCGGTGTCATGATGGGGTGCTGTAGAGTCTGAGGGGGAGGAGCTATGGAGTGGGGCCCTGTCGCTGCTGACGGAGCAGTGGGTCAGTGTGTACTGGTCCTGCACATATGAGGCCCGCGCGATCCGTCTGCGCACATCGTTGGACGAATCGGACTCCATGCCTGCAGCCGCAAAACACATTTACCATTGTTACCGGGGCTGGCTGTCCACTTCAGCTACTTCCCGATTCAGCTGTTTTGAATTGGTCATCGTGGGTGAGGGTTAGTCTCACGGGTGCAAGGGCCTCACCATATCCAGCACTGGCATTCAGGGGCCGGGCACAGGAGAACTCGGATGAGATCTCCCGGGAGATCTCTCGGAGAGCCTCTTCGATGTCTCCGTGCTCCGAGGATGCGGCCTGTAGCTCAAACAGCTCCATGGAACGTGGGGGGCACAGTTCATCCTGTGAGTGCACCGACACGGAGCCACGTGATAGGCCCCTAGAGACACGGCCACTCACCTGCCATCAGAGAGATGAGAGTTTTCTTTTTTTAAGCAGGACAGGAGAAAACAATTGTCATTGGGCCCAATTCCTTCTACAAATGACTATCCTGTAAATGAAAAGCAGGTTGGATAAACCAAAGGGCATTTATGACACGCTTACAAGGTTGGGCAATTAATACTTTTTATACAAAAATAAGTTTACATTGGCATCTCATTCAGGGTGCCCCAGCCTTCTGCCCTATGCTGCCTGCGATAGGTTCCAGGCCCTTCTGAACCTGATCTGGATAAGTAGCTGGGAGATGGATGGAGAAGATATTACACTAAAGCCCCATGAGAGACAGTTCACTCAAAACTCACGTCGTTCTTCTTGGTTTTGAAGCCGGACATGTCGTAGAGGGTACAGTATCCCATCAGGCAGTTCCCTGGGTAGAGTGGAGGAATCTCACTGGGCGAGAGAAGAGCCTCCATGTCGTCAGGCACGTACCAGTCGATATGGACATCAGTGACCACAGGCTCAAAAGCCTTCTTCAGCAGTCTGATCAACTGAGGGGCAAACAGCTGTGTTGCTGAAAAGATTCTTTTCTAGTCAGCGTTCATCTTCCATTTTTTCCCCTAATACCTCCCCAGCAGGGGGCAGTAGTATCCCATTCTCACCTTAGGCTGCACCCTCTCTTCCGTGCCAAGGAACTCGGCATTTCCACCTGTAACCTTGGCAACCCCCTGCAGCAGCCGCCGGCAAGCCGAGGGCCCCAGTCCAAGGCCACAGCACCTGGCAGCCAACGGTTTTCAATATTATTTCCAGCCATTTCTGGCATACAGCTTTCTGACAGCAAGAGTACCATGGCTTAAGAACATATATTTACAAACGAGAGGAGGCCATTCAGCCCGTCAAGCTCGTTTGGGGAGAATTCAACTAATATCTTAAAAGTTATCAAAATCTTATCTAGCGTTGACTTAAAGGAACCCAGGGTTTTAGCTTGCGCTACACTAACAGGAAGATTATTCCATACTCCAACTACACGCTGTGTGAAGAAGTGTTTCCTCAAATCCATTTTAAAATGGTTCTCCCACTTTTCCACCTATGGCCACAAGTTCTTGTATTTGAACTAATACTGAAGTAACTATTTGGTTGGACAACATCCAGACCTGTTAGAATTTTATATACCTGGATGATGTCCGCCCTTGTTGATCTAATGCAGAGATAGTGGTGCTGAAGGCGAGAAGACCCGTCACCCCACCCAGGGCTGCATCACCAAGCCTCCTTATTCATTCTGTTACAGCCTCATCGGTCTGCCTTGGACGGCTTTATTTACAGAGTTCTCTTTACCTTAATGATTTGAGTGATTTACTATCTTCACCTCACTCAGCCAATAAAGCACTGGCCACTGACATGGAGTGTGGGGTTGAACTGAAAACTAACTAATATTTGAATCAATTGGTTAATTGAAGGTCCACGCAACTTGCCATGTCTTTCACGTTTTTTTAAGAGATGTGTCGATGTGTGAGGCGGCGCTGGGTTCGGTCAGAGTGGCTAAAAGGAATTGCCATGGTGGGGGAGCGTGGGGGCAGGACAAATGGAATTAGCCCAAGTGGGGTGCCGTGTCATTGGGAGGAGGGGCAGGCCGGGGAGAGGAGGGGCAGGCGGGGGGGGGGGTGGTGGCACCGCAGTGGCAAGCACTTAGCCTGATTACTGCCTAAGACCAAAACTCACACAATGTCCTCAGTGTCCCCCCCCCCCTCCATATCATCATTGCTACAATTCTAGACACGTGCACCAGCTCCTGGACCAACAGTCACAGACCTGAAGGGATTATTTATTACTGTATTTTTATGGTTGGGGGAAGGGGGCAGCAGTCTACCTACTGCTGGCTGATATTTTAGACCAGTCCTCACCGGGATGAAGACTTACTGGCTAAAGGCCTTTGCAGATACATCATAACCCAAATCAGGAATGACTAAGGAGTTGGTGTGGTTTTTGGGTCCTACCCGGCCATACCTGGCCGTGCCAGCGTTCCTCCGCACCAGCTCCAGCACGCGCCCCACGTTGCCGACCGTGCCGTCTGTGATGAGGAACACTTGCCGAGGATAGCCACGGCGTCCCGGCTGCTGGTACACCCAGGACAGCGCCCCCAGCAGATTGGTGCCCCCCAGGTCCGCCTTCATCTTCTGGGTGTATTCGTAAGCTGCTGTCACTGTCTCCTGGGCCAAGGGGGTGGGTGAGAAGACATTTGGGTGCAGTGGCCTGTTAATCCTTAAACACAATGTAATGTAAAACTGTGCGGCTGCCAATCAATCACTGTCACGATTACAGATGACATTTTAGGTATGGAGGGCGATGAGAAAGCCAATTACTGCACACCGTAAACGAATGAGGTCACCATATGGCCTTTTGTTTGTTAAACACCCGCCTGCACCTCCAGGCACGGGTTCCTCGAGAATGTGATACTCCGCGACCATAGCAACCATGTGAGGAACATTGATTGTTCTCGGGCAGAGTAGCACACAACTTGATTTATTTACAAGGGACCAACTGACTTTGGAGGTTTCGGGTCAAGGTATATCTCACAGTTGAAATCTGTTACTTTTGTGCAACAGAAATCACATGGAACAACAACAGGTCTGGGTTTCTTTCAGACCAACATGAAGGAGGGCGTGTCACTCAAATTTAATTAGTCTCATCTTACTCAGCACATTTTCAGTATTTATGGCTGGTAAATCCCATGAAGGGCACGTCTTTTGGCTAGCTTGACGTAGCTCTGTCCCAGCATCGCCACATCGCTGCCGTGGCAGTTGTGCCCACTGGGTGCTTACATTGGTGCACAGCTTGCTGGTGAGGAACAGGGTCTTGATCAGGGAGCCGAATCCCACTATGTTTAACAACGTGCCTGGTGGCAAGCTCTTTATGGCTACCATCATTCCTTCCTGGAAGAGACAACAGGCCATCAGAATCTACTCAAACGATCATGTGCGAACGTAGAACAAGATTAAATGACAGATGTACACTCACCTAAAGGATTATTAGGAACACCATACTAATACGGTGTTTGACCCCCTTTCGCCTTCAGAACTGCCTTAATTCTACGTGGCATTGATTCAACAAGGTGCTGAAAGCATTCTTTAGAAATGTGGGCCCATATTGATAGGATAGCATCTTGCAGTTGATGGAGATTTGTGGGATGCACATCCAGGGCACGAAGCTCCCGTTCCACCACATCCCAAAGATGCTCTATTGGGTTGAGATCTGGTGACTGTGGGGGCCATTGTAGTACAGTGAACTCAATGTCATGTTCAAGAAACCAATTTGAAATGATTCGAGCTTTGTGACATGGTGCATTATCCTGCTGGAAGTAGCCATCAGAGGATGGGTACATGGTGGTCATAAAGGGGTGGACAATGCTCAGGTAGGCCGTGGCATTTAAACGATGCCCAATTGGCACTAAGGGGCCTAATGTGTGCCAAGAAAACATCCCCCACACCATTACACCACCACCACCAGCCTGCACAGTGGTAACAAGGCATGATGGATCCATGTTCTCATTCTGTTTACGCCAAATTCTGACTCGACCATTTGAATGTCTCAACAGAAATCGAGACTCATCAGACCAGGCAACATTTTTCCAGTCTTCAACTGTCCAATTTTGGTGAGCTTGTGCAAATTGTAGCCTCTTTTTCCTATTTGTAGTGGAGATGAGTGGTACCCGGTGGGGTCTTCTGCTGTTGTAGCCCATCCGCCTCAAGGTTGTGCGTGTTGTGGCTTCACAAATGCTTTGCTGCATAACTCGGTTGTAACGAGTGGTTATTTCAGTCAAAGTTGCTCTTCTATCAGCTTGAATCAGTCGGCCCATTCTCCTCTGACCTCTAGCATCAACAAGGCATTTTCGCCAACAGGACAGCCGCATACTGGATGTTTTTCTCTTTGCACCCCATTCTTTGTAAACCCTAGAAATGGTTGTGCGTGAAAATCCCAGTAACTGAACAGATTGTGAAATACTCAGACCGGCCCGTCTGGCACCAACAACCATGCCACGCTCAAAATTGCTTAAATCACCTTTCTTTCCCATTTTGACATTCAGTTTAGAGTTCAAGAGATTGTCTTGACCAGGACCACACCCCTAAATGCATTGAAGCAACTGCCATGTGATTGGTTGATTAGATAATTGCATTAATGAGAGGTGTTCCTAATAATCCTTTAGGTGAGTGTACATTGGCTCTCTTTGATAAGCCACAGACATAGGACTACAAACACAGCCTTTCTTAGGTAGATGTTGCTAAAAGTGCACCTTGAGCCGTTCCATGTTCGATCCACTCATGCTACTGTTGCGGTCCAGAAGGAAGAATATCTCACGGGTAGCCCGGTGCAGCTCCATTGGCTCATTCAGCAGGTCAGGGCAGAAGTTAAGCATCAGAACTGGGTTGGACAAGATGTCCTTGTGGAATCTCTTCCTCACAAACTCCAGCTAAGGGAAAAACTGGCAGTGACCCACATCCCAACAAGCAACACAAAACAAACAATACAGTATACAGTGCCAGGATCATAGCTCAGCCTCACCTTCTTTTCAGGCTCCGCCTCCTTCCTGGCATATCGAATGAAATCACGACGTGTGCATATCTGCTGTTCATACTCCTGGAAGGTGAGACGACCCCTCTCCAAGATGACCTGGGGACAGTGTGGTTCTGTGGAGGACAGGACAACTGGGGTTTGCTCCATCCCCAATCACCAAGGGGTTTATGTAGTACTGGGACACTTCACCAGACTGATCTTGTTGATAAACGACTCCTTGACATAAGCTCTTAGAGGAACACTGGGTCCCGGAATCTTTCCAGATGGAAACAAGCGGTGCTATCGGCATGCTGAATTTTATTAATACCCGCGGTTAAGAAAAGCTTGCATTTTGAGCTTCAGTCATTCTTACGGCCCCTAGCTTACCGCTTAAGTGCAGTATGATCTCCACAGGCCGGTCGTAGGGGTGCTCCTCTGCCAGAGTGATGTACGTAGCAGATGCCGACTGGGCACCGGGGTCTGCGTCGGCCCGCAGGGCGTGGGTGGGGCTCTCCAGGCCTGGTTGGGGGGGTCACATACTGGTCAATACCAAGAGTGCCCTTACTACTCATCCAGTTCCTTAATGGTTTGAGAATCACCCCTGATATCTTTTGAGTTCATTCCAACAGGGGTGACATGAGTTCAGCTTCAGTAATTCCCTGTATGACATTCGATTCACTAAGTGCCCCGTCACTTGCCAATTCCTTATGCGTCATGAGATTAGTTGTCCTTTGGAACCTTCAAGGACATTTGTCCCGTCAAACTTCTCGCATTACTAGGTGCTGCTTCAAACATCTACACATGCCTTGTATTTTCTACCTTTTGATACTCCAGTCAGAGCATTTTGCCAACATTTATGTTGGGCTTGTTTGATTTTCCGTGAAAGTTTAAAACATCAGCTGTTCTGCCCTCAATGCAGATGGTCCAATTCGCTCGTGACAGTCCAGGTCCTGCACAATGACAGAAATGCACAATGGGGGAGGGTACAGCAATATTATGGGCTTCTCTACTGGGACACCTGCCAGCCCTTCATCACTAAATGTTATTCTACACACCAATGGAGAATAAGGAGGCCAAAAGCATATTGGCTAGCCTATTCTTGCAGGCCATTCTCGGGAGCAGGGACTGATGTTGAGGAGTATCTGAAGATATTGGAAAAGTGTGAAGTCATGCAAGGAGGAGGTCTAGTTGGTGGAAGTCAGGCATACCTGCGAGGAGACAAGCTCCCCGCACAAGCAGCTGGAAACTGAACTCATAGGGCAGGTAGTTGGTGGCGGTGCTAGTGAAGATGGCATGGGCACACGGCCGGTGAGAGCCTGGGGGGCGGTCCTGTTTCCCTGGGGCACCCCCAAAGCAGCTGGTAGGTCTGGAGGATGGGGGGGAAGGGGGATTGGTGCACGCACATATCATCAAGATGAAATACAGACACGCAGTTCTTTGAGGAAATAACTGCATACCCATTTTCATCCCACCGCCCGCTGTGCTCATTCCTGCTTGGAACCATCTTTCCCCTGACCAGAGGGCTCAGCACCGAAGGGTAAACCATGTGGATCGCACCATTCTCGAGTGTGGGCAGCTCCATGGTTGTACTCAAGATGACCGTCACCAGGTCCAGCGGGGCGATGACTCCGGTACTGACAATGAACGTGGTCCTCTCCAGATCCTCATCCAGGACGAGATGCCCTACAGTGGACCCCCCGCCCCCAGTCATCAAATACATCCATGCAGAAACTGCAATGGGGTCATAAACTTTGGCTTTGCTAGCTCAGGTTATAACAAACCATTCATTCACACCGTTTGTTGCAACATCCAAATGATGTTAGACATTAAAACCAGCACAACGCACTATAATTCTATGGTATGATCTTTGCATAAACAAATCACTACGATATGGAAATCATTCCCGTTTGGAAGAAACAAAATAAAATGCTTTGCAGATTCCTTGACCATTTTGTAAAGAACATTTGTTTTGAAGCAGAGGTGATTTGTGTGAGCCAAAAATTAATCCATTTACCTTTAAGTGCCCACTGCAGACCGCAGAGCAATTTGATTACACAAGATTAATAAAGGCATTTGCTGCTTGAGGGGAAGGTTCCCTGGCTGTCATGTGACAGCACACACATCCTGCTGTACCACAATGCACTGGGCTAATAATCTGTTCAGCGGTAAAAACAAAGTTTATTGGTAATCAGAGATTTTATAATATTTATTTTGCAGGCTGATTACGTCTTTCCCTGCTTGATGCTGCAGATTCATAGGTGTTCAGCAGCTCAGTCTCCTCAGAAATCTGTGGGACTAAAGCTGTGCAGATGCAAGGGCTCACCATTGGTGCACTGCACGTCCCGACCAAAGGTGCCGCAGCACCCACAGTCCTTGCCGCTCCCAGACTGTGCATCCAGATGGTTGCTGGGACAGCAGTCCAGGCAGCACTCTTCCAGTTTGGTGCGGCTCTGGATCTGCACGCCCACTGCACGACTGGCCACGGCTGCCTCGAACCCCACCACCACCTCCTTCTCCCCCAGGGGGTACACAAACACACCTTGGGGAGCCAAGAGACCAGTGACGGCCGTCAGAGACATGGATGGGTGTTGCTAGGAAACTAGACCCCACCTCAAGACCTATTATGCATATTGAACTGGACAGGAAGAAATAGACTTGTGGTTTCAGTCCTAGGTGAGTAATTTCAGAAGTAAAATAACTAAAAATAACTTAAGCCAGTTGATAACACAGTAAACAGCGTTCAGTGATCTGAAGTGGTGATTTAACCGAAACCACGAGTCAGTAGACTGGATATTTATTAAGAAATCCAGTGCCCCATGATGTAGGGTAGGGAATGTGACCCACAACGCTCCTCCTCTCACCTTCCACCGATTCCATCTCCGTGTTGGCGTAGGTGAGCCGGGTGGTGATGCCCAGCGAGCAGCCAATGGCACATGACTTGATGCAGGACGCCTTGAGCAGCAGCGGCTCCCAGGTGGAGCGGTTCCGAAGGCCCGGCATTGTGGTTGGGGTTGCCTCCGCCTGCCTGCGAAGCCTTGAATTGGGTCCATGGCGAGTTGTTGGAAGGGGAATGTAAGGTTTATCAGTGTATGAATCAGGAAACAGATAAATGGAAAAAACATGCACTTCTTTGATATGTACCCTAAATCGTTAGCTACATGGATAGCCACCAAACTATGTGGTCTTAGGCTAATGAACAGCAGCTACATTTCCTGTATGCTGAAGCACCAGTCTGCAGTTACCATGAGAACAATCTTCCTCTGATATGGGTGCAGCATGTTAGCTCCTATTCCTGTGTGATATTTACAAGTCGGCCCTCAAACTGCAGGCCAGAACAGCTCCTGGGCTGTTCCGTGTCTACAGCTGCGTGGCAACGAGAGAGACAGGCGAGCGATTCCCTTAAGGTGCAGCTCAATCATTAACCGCTCAGTCAACGGTGTACTGACTACCGGCCGCTGCACACTCGCCGGGAGATCCGTGCACGCTCGCCATGCAGACTCAGGGTTTCCAAGCTGGAGTTTGTTACCTGCATATGTAGTTAGCCAGAGGTGAGGCCCAGTCACTAGCTTTAAATGGGTGGGGCCACAGCACACTGCATGGGGGGGGGGGGCATTTTGGTATAACAATTCAAGAAGTCCAACAAAAACCCCTCCTTCCTATTTACCATTATTACAAACCATGACTGATTATCTGAACTCAATATTTCATGGGGAAGGGGAATCTAAGGTGACTTGTTAAATGCTGAAAATTCTGATTAAATTGCACAGATGTTACTCAACATTCATCCAACCAGGGGTGCATGAACTGAAAAATAGACCTTTACATTTAAATTGTTAGCTTGTGTCCCCCAATACCAAACACCCATGCCACCAACCAGTCTGGACGTTTAGATCAGATGCACAGCTAAGATTTTAAAGTGCACTTTGCATTGTAAGCAGCCAGTTAATCCTTATTGAAGAATTAATTCTTCCTTTTCTTACACTCATAGGTTTAACCCATCCTCACTGGACGAGCTCACTCTTTTCTACTACACTGTAGAACAACTTAAGAAAATGAAATATTTGACCAACAAACTGTTCAAGCTTTCGCTAAAATTACAAACAAACCAAGAGAACGTTCTGCTCGAAAAGGTGAGGCCACGTGGACTAGCAGCAGCGTCTGCAGCTCACTAAGGCTGATTGCAGGTAGTGACCGGTTACTGTTTATTTTTGCCCAGGTGATGGTCATTTTACATTCATTCTCAAGTCAAAATCAACACCGGCCATCTGCCCAGGGACCTCACTAAATAACCATCACGCTGGATGAACCGGGCGCTGTGTACAGATCACGGGATAATGCGCAAGTCGTCGCCCTTCCAACAACAACAATAATGTTGCAAGGGCTAATAATTTTTTAATGTAACTACCTGAAATCCATGCAACGAAAGCACGCGGATTATTATAAGATGTTGACATACAATCATTCAGGCATTTTAACTATTAGGGAAGTTTGAGCAGCACATCCCTAATGTATCTACAAACGAGCTCATACCCAACAGAGTCGCTCACTGCCCACGGAACATCTTACATTTTCACCTCAAAACAATTCTTTAGGAAGTTATCCTAAAGCACTCAGGCTACAAACCAGTTTCGTTATTTTTTCCATCTAATTCGCCAACGTTGCGCGTAAAACTGGTACGTCAGGTGATGCAAACTCTATACCACCCGAGACATTATATGGAATGAAATATACCGTGATGTTTTTATCTTATGCACATTCACAGGTTCGAAAATGGATAACGTTCGATCGATACCAGTCCGATATCTGTGGGGTGATGTGTTACGCCTATAGTCAGTAATGTACTGACTGGTCGGCCGCTACATCCGTTGACTAAGAACGAAAAACAACCCCACGGGAGTGGGGAAAAAAATGAAAAAGGATGTAAATTATGGGGCTGATTTTTGTTCCCAGTCCATCTTTGCCTGTAGCGGTTATTCAGCTGTTTGATGAAGTGGTTTTAATGGGACCATATTTGTTGGGCATGTGAGATCGCCCAGAAACACATATACATATAATTTCATTATATAATTGAAAAAGGCACAAAAATATAATCAATTTCCTAGACTACAATGGTACTAAAGCGAAAGTTTCTTGTCAGATGGAGACGAGCTGTGTCTAGGCTATAGCAGCCATGCTATTCAATTAAGTTAAAATAACATCAAAAATGAAAGTATGCATTAGTTTCCAAAGGAAATTATATAAATAAGATATAACGGCACGTTATTGAGTACACACTTACTGCTTTTCAGTACACACTTACTGTATTGTATCTTGCGCCGTGGGGAATAAACGTTGTTTTTCAGCGTTCGAGCGCTTTCTTTCCCCTCATCCCTGTCCACTTGTGCCGGTGCCGGGGACTGGCGATGGACGCTGGGGGACGGGGGACCTCGGCTCCGCGTTCTGCGAGGTCTCCAGGGACGCAGGAGGGGCGCACACTGGCGACAAATCTAGACGCGTCTACTCCGGCAGACCTCCAAGGCATGGGTATAAGCATGGAGTCACGCCCCATTCAGGTCCGCAGTGATTGTTCAGCGTTTGACTCTTTATTCATATTATTAGAAATAACAGCAATAAAAGAAAAAATATTTCGATGTATTCTGGCTTGGTATAAAAAGCATCCTGAGGCATCCGAATGGTACCCAAACTTTTTTTTACGCTGCACTGCCGATCCTAAAAGAGCAATTTCAGTCACATTGCATGTATGCAATATGCATGCAATTAATATATATTAAAAATTGCCGCAACGTTTTCGCGGAATTAATCCATAGCATAACAAAAAAAGAGGAATGTTTGCAAACTGATTTACAGCGTGGCTATGCTCCTTTAAAGTCAGAACTTAACGCAAAAATATATTATAATGACTTTAACCGCAAACGGGTTTCCAGAGGATTTTGTTGCAAAAATTAAGTTTGAGGAGAACGGCAAACGAGAAAACTGCGGCGTGTCCAAACAATTGGTTTTGACTATAGATAGCAACTCATCGGTAATGAAAATCACGCCATTACAGTGGCGTTTGATCTAGGCCTACCGTGAATGAGTACACGCAAAACAGCTTGCATATCTAGCTTTTGTTGAGCATTAAAATCCAGATTAGAGACTTAATTAAGACCGAGAAATGGTCTAAAGTTTTTGAACGCACTTAGCTGGTTCGAAACAGTTTGCTGTAGTAGCGTAACTTCCGTTCGTCTGTAGCAGCTGCACTTGTTACACCCTTAATTGGAACGGAGTTTCATACGTTCATTTAACGTAAATATGTACATAAGGGTTAACGGGGTTCCATAACAGTCCATAGCATTTTTAAATCTCACAGCAAATAAGTTAGTTGAGATATTAAGTTACGCGTTGGATGCAAAAGAAAAAAACACGGGCCCCGTAAATTTGTGGCGGTTATTTACCGCGGTGAAGTTGGTTTTACGTTCGATATTCGCCACATTTACTGACATCTAAACTGCAATATCTTCGGGGTCATAACGGCAATTCTTTTCAGATTAGGCTCCACATGTGAAGTTAAACGAGGGCAATATTTCACACTTTAAGTTAGCTCAACATTCTCCAGC